ACATCCATTTCTACTCAGATAGCACCTGTACCATTAAAGAGCCTCGCTGGTTAGCGCAAGTCCTTCGCACCCACCCACAAGAGTTGACACATATTTTATTACTTGCTAACCCTGTGATGAGTGGCATCAAAGGCTGACTGGGCTAATCAAGATCTGGATTGATACAAGTAAGATTTTGAAGATATAGGTGGACTAACGATATATGGACTTAATGATAAAGAAATAGCTTCTAATACTATCGATGATGACGTCAGATAGAACAGTGGAAACATCATTATAGCTAGCCAGTCTAAAGAGTAATGGTGAGAGCCGTTAGAAGAAAATTGCTAACTTAGAAAAGATGTCCATAAATAAACTCACTACAACAATTAACTATGTAATGGAACCTTAAATGAATATCAATGTCATTAATGGGAGACACAAAAATGAGCATCCAATATCCACAAAAAATAAACCGAGATCCATCAAATAAAAAAGAAACCTCAACAAATCGAAAAACTCCTAAACTTTAAATCAATTTATGTCGATAAATCGAATTTTTTTAGCGAAAAAAAGCGCCAGGATGTTGGAAAAAAGTCAAAAGAACTGAAAAATAAAGAAAAAACAAATTTTAGGTGGAAGTTAATCGACAATAGGATCAGTAAAAATATTTGGATCCTATAAATTACGAAAAAATGCATAGGAAATGAAATAAAATGTAAACACCCAAATACTGTGTAAACATAGTACAAAAAATAAAACACCTGATAAAATGTATATATGTAAGCAGAACAATGGTTTTATAAATTTTCGTATTATCTGAATTCCACGCCATTATCATATGTCACATACAAGTCCAATTAGACCAACTAATAAGACGCAATAATAGATAGAGTCCGAGTTAGATAAGTTTTTCAACAAAAAAACAAATTAAAACATGCCATCACAAAAAAATATAATAAACAACTAAAAACTAGGCCTATTATATTACAGTGAAATAAAACAAGTAATGAGCTGGCAAATATCAAAGTTCTGTCCGCATAAAATCATTAAAAAAGGAATTTCAAGAAACCGTTGGAGCTTTCCATTTATATTTGTCAACTGATGAAGGAGAACGGCTGGTTGAAAACTGATTGGGATGTCTGAAATAACAATTGCTACTCGTACAGTAGATGCCAAATCTACATGCCTGAAAATTCAATTAAAATTAGAATTTAAAAACCAGAAATCCAAAGATACATAGAAAATTTGAAATTGAAAAAAAGAAAAATTATCTAAAAGTCAATTAAAAAAAGTAGAAAATTGATGATCCAAGAAACACCTTATATACACCTCAATACGCTCTTATGAACAACCATCTCTCGATGGTTGTCTTATTTCTTGTATAATACTTTTCGCTCTTCGTTATTTGAAAAAATATAAGGAAAAAATGATGAAATTGCTCCATAAATATAAGAAAGGAGAAAATTCGGATATATTCCTTTTTTTTAAATGCAAGTGGAATTAAGAGGCTTTCGAAATAAAATCAGAAGGCGGAAATACAATGCCTATAAAATATATAGGGCGATCGATTCCAGAAAAGTTTCGAAAAACAAGCCAAAAAGTAATGTGCCAGCTAAAATCCATTTTCTATAAACAATTGCAGTTTGTACAAATCGCCTTATATATTTTAGCTGGTACGAACTCATATTGGATTAGTTTATATATTTCGCATACAGAATAAGTTCACTAACTTTTGGATGCTTATATATACACTGAGCATTTGTACAATTTCCACCATATTTACATGGTATTAAAGCATTCAATGAAGTATTCGCTGATACTATGCTCGAAGATTCAGGTAGATTATCCACTGAGGAATTTAACCTGAAGAAATAAAAATAAAGAATTAAGAGACTTTGAAAACAAGTCGGAACACAACAAACTAAAAAAGACTATCAGTTCAGCAGATTTTATCACCAAAGGACTTGCGTGTAGTAAAAACATTTCCCCTGCTGCAAATTAAAATGGGGAAATTTTTCGACATTATTCAAAAAAACTTATTTTACATGGTTTTGTGCGAGTGTGAAAATGGACAATAAGGATTGGTGCACTGCGGTTCAAATTTGCAAGATGGATGGATATAAATACATCGATCACCGAAATGACAATATGGGAAAACACTGAAATTCAAGAAGAAAACTTGACAAATACAATTCCTTAGAAATAAGTATCTTGAAATAAGTATCTATAAGTATCAGAATTTACTGAAATTTAAATTATATTATTTCAGAATATATTATTCCTAATAATTACCAATAATCCTTAATAAATAATAATACCTGCACGGCCTACAAGGATGAATGTACAAACAAGAATCACCAAGCCGGCATTTCGGCCAAAATTTGCAACGTTCCATCAATTTTTCATTATTTATTCCAAAGCTCTTTGCTTTTACCTAATTACAATAAATTGAAAGATCAAGAAATAACTGCTTAAGCGAATTTATGCATCAAAATGAATAATGATGAATAAATAATGAGAAAATAAATTGATGTATAATATAAACATTTTGAAAAGATTATGAAAAAAGTATTAAAATGAGTTTGAAAATAAAAAAGCAAAAAACACCTCTGTTTGAGCGACTGCAGCATTCATACTGGCAAGGACTGCATCAATCGCCGCTTCTGAAAAACAAATATAGAGAATATGAACGACCTGTTTTTGACATTGTTTTCTCCAAAAATCTTGTTGCTTTCTTATATGCATCTGGTTTTTAAAAGCCACGTGAATTTTGGAACCATTATCATCAGTGGTAAGAAAGTACGAAAAAAAAATGAGCACAACACTCGAAACTTTCCCAAATCTTCATAATATCTTCTAGCAGCATTCACGATATTCTGGTCAGCTCCAGCGATTATTACAGTGAGACCTTTTCGAGACCTTTTACTTAGAAATAGAAGCAAGGATAAGTCGTCAGTGCCAACTGGATTTCATTCTCAATTTCCATTTTAATGAAAGAAAAATTGGATGTTGGTTGTAGCAAAACACTCGGGCCATCCTATCTTCCTATTGTTCGGTTCCGAATTTGGCTAAACCCTTTCTCATAGGAAATTCATACCTTTTATGATAAATTTGTATGAAGCACAAGAAGAATATCGGAAACTTTGCTTATGGAAGCCAGAACCACAGAAAAAGATGATTAGCATGATGAATAATAAATAATCTCATCAGTAAACTCTAAGAAATCCAAAAATAAAAAAAGTACCATCATCACTACTATCTTCTTCTTCCAACTGAATTTGACCATCCCAAAGAGGAGTATTTTCTGAACTTTTTGAAACAGCAGACTAAAATGATACACATACATAAGCAAGAAAAGATTCATTACAACTCGTTAATGAAATTGATGAAAGAAATTGAAATTTTTTACTATGAATTCGTCGACTTCAAGCCCACTTTCGTTGGCCTGTTGGACTTCATTATTTTTATCATTGTCGCTGTTTTCTGTAGTGCTGTATTCCATCACAATTTCATCTCGTCTTCGAACTCCAGAAGTAAAACATTCGCTGACTGCTGACGTCTGTTTCATAACTGATGATAAATTCAGAAATGCAGAGTCTGAAAAAATTTAAAATTTTAGATAAAATCAGTTAGAAAAAAAGTACTTAAATATATCCCTAAAAAAAATAGAGTAAAAAATATTAAAAAAACAACTTGGATTCCCATTTCGTTGCCTACGAGTCTTTAACTGTGTATTAGTAGATAAATCAGATCCATCAGGTATTTTTGAAACACGCCTATCAGAGCCTTGTAAAGTGATAACAAAATTTCCTTCCTTCTTAACGCACTCTACCCTGAAAACATTAATGGAATCCTCTAATATATGAAGTTCTAATCACTGCATATATAACAAAAAAAAATAAGACTCACGACTCCAATTTTCTTTTCTTCGCACAGGAATTATGATCTGCTTCTTCTTCACTGAAGCAGCCAAGAGGACTTTTATCAATACTGCAAGACATATCATATTTATCGGCTTCAGGCAACAAATCCAAATCATCATAAATATCGATTTCGATAGCCTGTAAAATTTGGAAAACAGAAACCAAATTAAAGAAGATCTAAGAAAAATATATAAATTCATATAAAACATAGAAAAAACGAATACTTCTTCTTCTACAGCAAGATTTGAGACAGGTTTAGATTCTCCAACAGCTCTAAAATGCGATATTGACCCAGTCCCTAAATGACTGGGAATGCGAGTAGTAACAGGTTTAGATTCTCCAACAGCTCTTGAATGCGATGCTGTTCCAGTCCCAAAATGACTGGGAATGCGAGTAGTGGCGTTAGCCTCTTCAATAGCCTTTAAAAACAACATCTTTCCGCCCCTTGCTTGTTTTCTAAAAGATTCCATAAATTAACTTTCATAATACCGAAAATAAATTCAATTCTCATATATTTTAAACGATTAAAACTGACTTGTCATCTTTGCAATAAATCTATTAGATTTCTTATACTCTGAAGAAACGGGATATCCGAATAATTTGCTGAGCAGACTATCGTTTTTGAAAGTCAGGTTCAGTTTCCAATAGAAATAAACCTGCTATTAAAAACAACGGTGCTGACGATCCACCTATATCATCTTTCTGGCAAAAATTTGATTACCAAAAGATAGTGGAGCAAGCACAATTAGAAATGGTAACCACCAATCACTTATATAATAATATGTTTTAATCATTAACAATTCGACTTATGTCAAAGCATTATGGATTCAATTTTTCTTGACTATAAACTTTTCATTAAAAATGAAATCAGAACGCTAAGAACCCACGTGTACTTCTATTTTCAAGCATTTTTCTAGTAGAAAGATCTCATTCTAATAGTCAAGCCAGTAAAAGCTAAGAGGAAAATTTCGAGATAAGAAATGCTGTATGAAACAATCTTAAAAAACAAATTCTTTTTTAAGAGCAATTAACAACACTACTGATTAAACTCGCTCCGCTGGATTGTCAGAACTATAAATAGACAAAATAGACAAATATAGAAGTCCCTTGCAAACAAGATGACAAGTGAGTCGCAAGAATCATCTAGATTTTTAAACAAGTTTGCTCCGGGAATAAAATTTCAGCATCGGCGCTTCGAATTAAGCAACAATCCACTGATATTCTACTCTCCTTTTGCTATTCCCCTTTACCATTCGAAGAAATGGTGCATCAGAAGCCAAATCTTAATTTTCAGTGGCAGTTACCCTGCCACTGAGCCACCGATACACCCTTAAGGAGCAAAGGAAAATAAAAGATAGCAAAAAACTTCAAGTGGATTGTCACTCTAGAAAATAAAAATCATTGAAATTAAAACGTACGAATTATCTTTTTCTGGAATCTTCCGTTTTACAACGACCTGAGAGACAACAGTCTTTGGTGTAGTTGTTTTGGGTAATCTGGCTACTGCAGAAGACTGTACCTACAATAGATTAAAAATAGTAGCACAAAACAACTGAAATCTATAAAAAATAAAAAAATAAAACAATGTCTTATATTTCATAGAGCAATCTGAAAATAACCGTCTGCAAAAGAGAAATTGAAACAAACCTTCTTATTGCATAGATCGTTCTCCGAATCTATATCTACAACTTGTTCATCGCTTTCTGATTCAAATGGAGAAGTATAGGCGGAACTTTTTAAATATAATGATTTTCTTTTTCTCGATGTCATTACTTCATTATTTGACGTGAAATTCTGCCCAGCATAACCACAAGCAAGGTTCCTAGTGAAATATTGTAAAGAGAATAAGATTACTCACAATTTCAACAACAAAATAAAAATTTTCATTCCTGATAGACCAAAATGTACCACAAACCAACAAAAAAAAAGAAGATCGAGACAAATTACAACAATCTGAGAACTTATAACTATGTAAATAAATCCCCAAAAAAAAACCTTTCAGACTTTGTGCTTGTATCAGACACACTTTCTTTCTTAGATGTACTCTTATTAATCCGTTTTTTCGAATCAGATTCGCTGTTACCATATTTATCATCAGCAATCACTTTTTGTTTGTTGCTAATTGTAATTTTATTATCATTATCTCGAAGACTCGAATGACGATTTCTTAAAGATCGTTCTGCACTGGAATATTCAATTCTTTCGTGGGTTCGGCGTCTGGATGATTTTTCTTTGTTTGAAGGCTAAAAAATTTTTAATTTAAATCATAAAATATACCGTTCTACTAAACCACCAAAGAATTCTCACTATTTTCTGCTAAGCTCTACCTAAGAAATAGATCCTACTAAATTTGCGCTCACTGGGCAATCCTGGATAAAACCCAGGATTAAAAAAGGCCAAAATGCACAACATGAGAACTCAGTTCAATTATCTAATATGAATTCAAGAACAGATCTTCGATTATTTATATGATATGACAAATGCTAATGGAAAAAGCTGAAAATATTAAATGCCAAAAATAGATTCTGATATTTGAAAATATCTGAAACTCATTCGAACCAAAATTTCTAGCAGCCGCTCACAAGTCTTATTTCATGAACAAACTCGACCTTAACCTGATAATTCATAAATAAAAAAATTGTTTGAGGAAATATGAAGACCTTAGACTTAACAACTTTCGCCTCTCTATCACTATCTTTACATTCTCGACTTTTCCTCTTCTCCGATTCTTTATTCGCTTTTTTCGTTTTCATTTCCTTCTCCTCCTTATATTCATATCGCTTTTCGGAATCTCCATGTTTCATACTTTGAAGAATTTCCCATGTTACAGTCGTTTCTTTTCGAGTTCCACTTTCTAAACTGCTAGTCTTTGATGAAGATTTCTCAACATGATGCGGTGCAATTGCTGCTGATTGTAAACGTTCTAGTGTGTCAAAGAGCCTGAAATAATTTCAAAATACTTTGTTTTTGAAAGATCGATTTAATTGAAAGTAGGAAACGTACCAATCAACAAATGCCGAAGTATTATTGGACAGAAATAGAAGAAGGTCGTGTTTCATATGATTTCTTTCTTTTTTATTTGCGATCATAACCATTATATAATCAGGCAGTTCTTCATCAACATATACACCCAATTCTTCCAACTTCGCTTTAATCGCTGCCTATAATTTGAAATAAATCATCCTATGATGTGATAGTTTTAGATAACATACCTACGCCAAGAATTCGAATAATTCGAATAGTAGCTATTTTTTCAATACTGATAAAGAAATTTAAAAACTCACGCGAATGCGCTTCGAAACCTCAACATTGTTGGGGCCAGTCATTGTCAATTTAAACTGAAATTAACAAGAAAATCAATAGAACGTAGAAGTGCTTAAAACGATTGTCACAAACCTCATAAACTAAGAAAACAAACGAGTTAAGATTGTTAGGTTACGGAAAATTCACCAAAAAAACTAATTTACAAAAAAATTTATCAAAAAACATTATCATTATCAAAAAACATTATTATCATTTGATCGGAATATAAAAATTAAGACACCTTTTCTAACTTTTTAGTCCGAAAAAAGCAAAAAAACCAGAACTAATATAAAGTAATGATCAAATAAATTATGAATTATAAATAGTACACAGATCAAAAAAAAAGGAAATAAATGATGCGAACAAATTTATTTAAATAAAAAACGTTTTTAAAAAATTCACGAGATTGAAAAAATCGGAAAAATTAACAAAATAAAAAATCAAATCCACTTCAAATCGGAACAAATTAAAATTTAAATAAAAAATAAATATAATCTAATTTTGTATACAGATTTGCAGAAACAAATAGATCTGGAAAGCGTCGACTGCTCGCATCATTTTATGGCAAAATCCACCCAAACCTCGCAACTTCATTTAATTTAGCCATGCGAGCAGCCAAATAAAATATACATACACTGCAAAGAACCTATCACCTTCATTTATAAAACTCGATGGAAAACAAATTCGTGAACATCGTTTTTATTAGATATTAACAAAACCAATTCAAAAAACTAAAAATAACTGGAACTTCGCTAAAATTTCTTATGACTTGACCATAAGCACAGACGATAACCATAAAACGATAGACAATCACGACCGATATCCCAATCCCTAACCCCTCCTTAAAGAACTCATGCATTAAATCCAACACAAGAACTCGACCACGTAAGACGACCACTTATAGCCATTAGAAGTTTTGTCCTCACAACTCGGCCGAATCTGCAAAATTCGTATCAAAATCAGGAAAAATCAATCATGCTGAAAATTCGGCATCTATGAATTGCTCATCAGCCAGATCTTGCTCAAACTTGTCTTTTGTCCTAAACAAATGTATGACAATATCTATCGAGACTACGAGGCGAGTTTAAGCCTTATTTATTAGAAATTAAACAAATTTAGAAAAAATAAGAGTACAAACAAACAGGCTCTGCGTGTGCACTCAGTGAAGTTCTTGCAAACGTCACTGTGAAAACGGAAAGAAAGTGAAATTAATTGTTACAAGTAGAAAATAACGTTGGTAATCGCTGATGACTTCAGGCCAGCAGTTCTATTCATTCACTTCTTACTCAACGACTGAAAAATTTGGTCCATCGTGTTGGCCGAAAACTCGAAACATTTTATGAAAAACTCCCACAGACCTTGTTAAATGTACTTTTTAACAGAGCTGAGTAACTGCGTTAGTCGAGAGCGGTTGAGTTATCAACTGGCTGTCGTGTCAGAACTGCGTTAATCTGTAATTGGTCCAGTTGTTACCTTTTTTTTCGAGTTTTTTTTTAATTTATTCGAATTTATTTAATTTCTAATCTTCCTTAATAATTAAATATGTTTATCTCGTAATTAAATATGTTTAAATTATGCATTACGAAGTTATTTTTATTTGTCTGAACAATAAAACTATCGTTTAACTGAAATCGAGGTGGCTCACCTTACTGGATAATGAAATCACTTGGTCGAAATATAAGGATTTACACTTCTATCGCTCGCCAAGTGATTTTATTGCGAAATAGTCAAGCAAATATCAAACAGCATTCGCGCATCCAGACTCGCATAATATCTCTAACTCGGTGGTAAAATAGGATTAATGTGCAGACCGGCTTGGAAGTTGTAACATAATATTGAAGATAGCCACGCAAGTTCTCGAAGCTCTGGGAACTGCTTCGATACAGTTAAAGTCGAATAAAGAGGTTCTCTGTATGCATGCGAAATCCTTGGTCATAGCTGTGAGGAATGTTAGAACGGTGATGTATATAGGGAGTACAATGCTCATCGAAATGATAGGAGATAAGGGCGGAAACCTCTTTTAAGAACATCAAAGATCGTCTATTTCCATGAAGAGAATTATTTGAATATATGTTCAACTAAGACGGTCCATCCAACATACAGAATAGAATTAGAAGGGATTTGAAGCATTGCAATTGCAAATCAGCTGCCGAGAATGAATTAATCTCAAGTAATTCGCAAGTTTGTTTGTGAGCTGAATTCTTCGAATGCTATCCAGCGTCCTTCACAACCCGAAGATTTTTTTCGCAGTCTGGGAGAAGGGGCAAATAACATGTGACTGAAAACAATTTTCCCCCAAATTCTCAGATAAGGTGTTAAGACGTATTGCGACAACTATCGAGGAATCAGCTTATTAGGTATTTCTGAGAAAATTTTTGCTTCCCTTTTTGCTGACTCGCTGCAATGCGTGAGAAAAATACATGCCTTGGCCAAGCCCAACTATGCCCAGGGCGTAGTTATGGCCAAATTTCCACGGTGAAAGGGTACTGGAGCATAACTTCAAATATCGGAAAGCTACCATTATGTCAGCTTCATCAGTTTTGCTTTTGATTCGATGGGATCATGCCCATGCAACGCGACAATGCCCGAGAAAAAATAATCAGACTTGTTAAGCATTTTATTGACATACGTTAGCGTAATTTGTATGTATTGTGTACTGGTATGACCCTTTGAAATATGTACCGGTGTACGTCAAGATTTCTATCTCCTACAGAGTATTCAACTATGCGATAGATTGGGTAACGCACACCGCTTGCAGGCATAGTGTGTGCGAATAAGTGTACGAATCAGGCCCGAATAATTTGTGCACGCTGATGATGTGGTGCCCTTTGCTGACAGCTACAAGGAACTGCAGTTAGATCGGATGTTGGAAGTAGCGACAAAATAATTCTTCCTCAAATCAATGTTAATAATATGAAAACTTTTCGTCTAATAAATTCATCAACAGAGAAATATCAGATTTTAAATATCTCGCATCCACTCTTCCTCGTGACCAAGCGAAAGATGAAATTTCTTTTTGGATAGTTGCAGTTGGCCTTCTTTCTTCTGGTGAAGTTCCTTTAGAGTCACACCGAATCCAGCGTCAAAACGAAAGTTCGCATCGATCTTGGCGCATCGCGCTCTATAACGAAAATGCTTTAAAATGCATCTCTTTGCTTTGTGAATTTTTTTCCGTTAAAAAAATATCACTGTCGTACTCTCGCTGTAAAATTATCATATACGTTGTGTGAGCCTAAACAATTGAGCAATTAAACCCTTTTACTTGAAATAATAATAAAATCACGACAACAAACACATACAAAGCAATAAAAAATATCACAAATAAAAGTAAGTGAATAAATTGAGTCACAACAGCGAAACAACAGCTCGTTGGCTGATCACCAATGTTTTGAGTACTGAGATCGTTGATCATCTTATTATAGCAATAATCTCACTTGGCATCATTTCTGTACCTTTGCTTCTTCGGACTGACCCTCCATTTCTCATCTGTTGATTCGTGCTTTATTTTTGAGTACATTCCAGCACCTTGAAATAAAATAACAATAATAGTGATGATAATTAGCAGTAATAATGGCAATAATGACAATAGTGATAGTTGCAATGATAAGCGAAACAAATAATAGTAACAATAATAATAGTATGAATAATAATAATAATTAATAATAACAATAATAATAATAATAATTAATAATAATAATGATAATAATTAACAATAATAATAATAATTAATAATAATAATAATTAATAATAATAATAATTAATAATAATAATTAATAACAATAATAATAATTAATAATAATAATAATAATTAATAATAATAATAATTAATAATTAATAATAATAATAATTAATAATAATAATAATAATTAATAATAATTAATAATAATAATAATAATAATTAATAATAATAATAATAATTAATAATAATAATAATTAATAATAATAACAATAAC